GAGCTGTTTAATTCTCCTGGGGTTTGTCTGGGCCTCATCACCGTCGTCATCATCATTGCCAACCTCAAGAAGCTGAAAGACAGAGGATTCCAGGCGGTGTGCAGCGGGCTCCCCTGCGGTGCGAGCTCCCAGTGGAACCACTGGAGGAGAGTGAGTGACAGCCAGGGCTGGGGGCGGGTCCCGGCGCTTGGAGAGGACAAGGCCAGGCCTCTGCCTGGTGTTCCCGGTTCTCCACGCTCGGCCCCTCCCCCACCGGGACGGGGAACAGCCCGGAAGCCATTCCGGTGCTTCTCCGCTGAGCCCCAGGACCCTGGGCTCAGGGACGATCGCCCCGCCCTTGCCATCTGAAGGGTGGCGCGCTTTTTTCAGCATTTCCGTTTCCTGCCTGAGAGTCCGCGTGCTCACCCTGAGGAGCTAGTACTTCAGAAGAGACCCTGGAATTGCATCACCCACTAAGGCAGAGTTGTAGGGCAGGCGCCCTCCTGCAGCCAGTCCCGCCGCCATTGGGCCCACGTGGGCTGCCGAGTAAGTGCAACTACCGCACCCGGCTCCGCCGCTGCTCCGGAGCGGGGCGCGCTCCGACGGCTGCGCTCCCTCCACTCTCCGGACTTTGCTGCTGCTCCCCGTCGGGGCGCAGGTGGGTGCGCGGCGCTGGGGGAGGGCAGACCCCGAAAGCCAGGCTTGTGTCGCCGCGGGCTGGACAACGTCGTTGGGCAAAGTGCGAGCTCTGAGCGGGGCCGGTGGACGGGGAGACCAGTGCGTTCTGTTCCGCTCCCCGCACCCGTGCAGTGGGGTCCGAGTACCCGCGGGTCTCAGCAGCTCAGGGTGGCAATTCTCCCAGCGCACGGGCGGCCCCGCTTTGCACTGCTGCCGAACCCCAGATTCTCTAGCAGAGAGCTGGGGTGGGGGGATGCCGGAGGGAGGGACAGAAGGCACAGCTCAGCCGAGTCCACTGGTGGCTGGGTTCCTAACAGGCCAGGACAGGGGCTGGTCAGCGCGTTGGGGCTGGAGACCCCGGTCTCCAGGCAGCCAGTGCCCAGGCAGTCCCGGACCGCCTCCCGGTACCCTGCCCAGCCAGGGCCCGAGTGCCTGGGGCTGCCTCCGGTCAGTGGGGTGTGCGCCTAGGTGCAGGTGACCCTGGTGAGGGGGACCTGAGGTGGGCCCCACATTTTCTTGGGGGACTGGACACTGTCCACGTTCTGCCCAGGCCACGGTGGAGCCTGGCGGGCGGAGTCCCTGACTGTGCAGACAGTGTGAGGAAGGGAACACTTGCCGTTTTTTGGCCAGACGTGGGTGGGGGTGGGTAGTAGCAGTGGGTGCAACCCCAGGGCGTGGGGGAGGGGTTGCCGGTGGGACTAGAAGTGGCTCCCAGCCCTGGGTTTGCTGGGGGAACTGCAGGGACGGAGCAGGGCCTGGAGACTGGGCGTTGGTGGGGGGTTTCAGTGGTTGCCGAAACCAAAGCCACCCCTTCTAGGGATGGGCGGAGATTTTCTTTGAAGAAGCCGGGTCTTTATTTGCTAAAAATCAGCCCCAGCGGATGGGCGGAGATTTTCTTTGAAGAAGCCGGGTCTTTATTTGCTAAAAATCAGCCCCAGCGGGACAAGGCAGACTCCCGTTTCTGGACGACCTGGGCTCCCTTTCGCCCTGACACGGAGGCTGTGGAGCAGCCCCGGGGGCAGGTGGGCACAGGCTCTGGGGCACACAGTCAGCACCCGTCTTCCCAGAGCTTCGGAGCTTCAGGATCTAGGGAAGAGCCGAGGGTGAGTCAGTTCCCCAGTCCCTGGGTCACTTGGAGCCAGGCTATTAGTCCAGAACATTCCAAGGAGGCAGGAGCTCAGGGTTGGTGCTGTGCTGCGGGCCGGCCTCGAGGTGCTGTGGCACCTCCTCAGGCAGAGGCCTCAGGGACCAGGTCAGGTCTGTGCCCTGGGCCCCACCATCACCTCTGTGTGCCCCCCTTCACAGGGTCCTACATCAGCAGAGAATGCAACTGGGACCTCCTCACGGAGTGCAGACTGTGCGAGCCTGGCTCCTTCATGGTCCAGCGCAACCAGGAGACCCCTGCCTGGAGGGGTCTGCTCCATGTTTCATGGCTGATTTCCACGGTGGGATCCCAGAAGAGACCCCCAGGGCACATTTGCAGAGGAGGCTCTGGGGTCACCAGTGATGGCGGTGGTGCCCGGGTCGGCCCTGGGCAGGCAGCCTCTCCACATGGAATCCTCCTCCTGCTTCCAGGTGGTCCCTGCTGCCCAGCCCCTGCTGGCCTCTCTGTGTGCACAGCAGGTCAGGATGGGGAGGTGCCTGGTGCCCCGTCTGCCTGCCCTCCCTGTGTGCCTCGCCGTGGTCCAGCTGCTCAGCCCCTGCTCAGGTAGGACCGGCTGTGCGTCTGCGTGTGTGCATCCTTTCCCTTCGGGCCCAGCCAGAACCCGGGACTCCGCCCACCCCTGCAAGGCCCGTCCACACCGCACCTGTGTTAGGACTGAGTTCCCTTCTAGGTGTCTGTCACCTCACCCTCCCTGCCTGGGACACCCCCTGGCCCTCTGGCCCTGCTCAGTCTGATGGAGCCCCCCCCTTCTGATGACCAGCTGAGTTTGCTGTGGTCGGACCCCCCGAGCCCATCCTGGCCATGGTGGGTGAAGACGCAGACCTGCCCTGTCACCTGTCCCCGGAGATGAGCGCTTAGGCCCTACAGCTGATGTGGGTGCAACCCAACCGAAGGCAGGTAGTGCACGTGTACACACACGGGCAGGAGGACACGCCGGCAGAGGAGTTTCGAGGGAGAAATTCGATTTCACGAGAGGACGTCATTCGGGGAAGGCCGCCCTGCAGATTCACAATGTCAGCGTCTCTGACAGGGGAACCTACCTGTATATTTCCAAGATGGAGACTTCTATGCAAAAGCCCAGGTGCAGCTGCAGGTGGCAGGTGAGCCTCAGGCTTGTTCCAGGCTCCTTTCCCTGGGCGGGGGCAGAGGCTGCAGACCTACCCCAGAGCACGTGGGCTGCTCACCGGCATCCACCCCCCCCCCCCCGCCTCCATCTCTGCTCCTCCGAGGCCTGTGAGACACCCAAGGGTCCCCAGGGTGACTTCTTCCTGCACCCACGACAGAGTCCCCCACGCCGCCCACCCGTCTCAGAGGGGAGTGCAGGTTGGAACTGGGCACCAGTGGACTGTGTGAGACTTTAAATGCTGCATCACAAAGTCCGGGCTCCCCTCCTCCAGTCCCCTCCAACACGGGAAGGAACCAGGTCGTTCCCAGCGGGACCTCCGCACACTTGGGCAGGTGTGCCCGCAGGTCAGAGTTGTCCCGCAGCAGCGAGGGGCCGCCTCCCGCCGGCCAGCAGGCCGCACCAGCACGCCCACCGACAGCAGGGGCGGGCGTGGTGGGGGGGCGGAGGGAAACAACCCTGTGCCCTGCAGACGGCCACCACCCCCGTGGGAACGGTGTGGGGGTCCTCGGGGATCTGATGGGGTTGTGCCTCTGACCCAGACACCCCCCTGCAGAGATCACACCCCAGGAACCCTGAAACCCCAATCCAAAAGCGCCCTGCCCCCCACATTCACAGCAGCACAGTTTACAGGAGCCCAGTGCTGGGAGCAGCCCAAGTGCCCACCAGTGAGCACCCTGTCCCACCCCGTCCTGCTCTGGGCCTTGGGGGCCAGGGGGAAACACGTGGACGTCCGGGCCCCAGGGTCCCTCCTGTGCCCTCCTCTCTCCCGCTTCTCCACCGTCTTTCCTGAGCTGTGAGCGGGGGCCACGGCCTCCCTCTGCAGCGGGCTGTGGGGTCAGTGCCCGCTGCCCCACCCTCCCTCACTGGCACCCCGGGCTCTCCCAGCAGAGGCAGGCCGCCCTCTCTGGCCCTGGGGACGGAGCACTGGGGACAGTGGTCCCAGAGGAACCGAAGAAGCAGGACATGGGCCGGGCAGCAGGGCAGGCAGGGGCACTCGGTGGGGCCACCCAGGCCCTGTGGCTCCACGTCCTCAGCTGGCTCCCGGGACAGCGGATGGGACCCCTGCCTCCTGGGCCTGCTTCTCACTGTGTGAACACCGCCCCTCCCGGGCGCTGGGGGGACTTTCCACACATTTCTTTGGCAGGACTCCAGGTGACCAGTGGGTCACGGGGGTGGGGGGGGTGCTTGCCAACTTTGACCTAAGACTAAAATGCCCCGGGTGGCAGGGGTTAAGGCTGCTCTGTCCCAGCTGCGCCCTCAGCAGAGAGCAAAACAGGAAACTGCCTTGGGGAGCCTGGCTCCGCCTCTCTAGGTGCTTCTGGGTTGTCGGTGGGCGTGGGGGAAATGGCTGGGGCCGAAATGGGTGGGCAGAGGGACCCGGAGCGGCAGTTCCTCCTAAAGAGACCACACCTCGGCTCCACATCCGAATTCTAGCCGCGCTGTACCCCTCTTCTCCGTTTCCCCGCAGCGGTCACAGGACAGCAAAGGGACAGGCCAGACAGGCTTTCGGTTCTGAAACGCTGTCGAACCTGGAGGAGTCTCTAGCGTTTTTCCCTTTGTGATCTGGAGTCTGGGGTCCCAGAATAAGCCCGGAGCTCCCCAGAAAGAAGGTGGGGACCCGGGGTGGAGGAAGCACAAGGTTGGTGACTGAGAGGCCTGGACAGGTGCTGCCCTGCGGTGTGGTGCGGGTAGGGGGGGCCGGGAGTACCCACACGGGTCCTCAACAAGTGAGTCGCTGCCCCGGGTGTTGGCGAACCTGCCCAGGACGCCAGAACGTGCTGCACTGACTGTGCGCTCTCAGCTGGCAACAGGGAGGAGGGAGCAGCTGCGTCCCCAGCCTGTGTTAAAGCAGGACGGACCCCTCCCCTCCACCTCCCAGGCCCACACACTCGGCCATGGACGTCCATGGGGGGAAACAGGTCAACTGTCCTCCTGGTGGGACCAGAGCTGGTTCTGGGGTGAGGCTGGGGCTTCCTGTGATCCCGGGCCCCACCTGGGGTCTGTGATCACAGCACACAGTGCTCCCCAAAGTGGGCTGGGGGAGTGCCCACGGAGACCCCTTCTGTTGGTGACAGTGCAGACCCGGGTGCCTGGGGCTGGGGAGACGTGGAAGTAGGAACAGTGAAGCTGTGTCCCCCCCACCCCCAGGTGTCCTGAGGGGACAGTGGTCCTGCAGCAGTGCAACTCCAGGGAATACACAGTGTGCGGCCCGCCCGGTCCAGGTGAGAGGGGGTCCTGTTGTTGAGGGGTCTGTCTGAGGAGAGGAGACCCCGTGACCCGGGGGAGCCCTCTGTCGGGGGCAGTGCCGTTCCCGCTCCTTCCCATCAGCCCTGGGACCAGCAGTGCCCTTCCCCCTCGGCCCCCAGCAACCCTGAGTTACTTTCTGGGACGGACCTCCTGGTCAGGACGGGTCACAGACACAGAATGCAGTGACATGTGGCCTTGTGTGCCCGGCTTCTCTCGATCAGGCTCGTGTCCCCAGCCCCTGGGTCATGGTGGGACCTGCCAGGGCGTCACCTCTCTGTGGCCGAAGGTCACACAGATGTAGATGTAGAGAGACACTCGTGGTGGTGTTCACTCTCCTGCTCAGGGACTCGGGGACATTTTTAAAGAAAGTGTCCCTGAGCCCGGACTGCTCTGTGACAAGGATAGCTTTTCAGTCAGTGGTGTTGGGGACCCTGGACGTCCCCAGTTCCAGGAGGAGTTGGGCTGTCAGGTCACGGCAGACAAAGAAACTAACAACGACCCAAAGACCCACCTGCACGGTCTGAAGATGACAGAACCCCTAGAGGGGACATCTCATGACGTTGGTTGGTGTTTGGGTCCCACGTGGTGACATGGGGTCAGCTCGGGGGTGTCTCTGTGAGAGTAGTCTCACGGAGCCCCCATCCCCTGGTGTGTCCACGGTCCTACGATGACAGGGGTCCTCCTTTCTGTGCTGACAGGTTCCAGTGGGTGCGTGTGTCTGTGGGTACTCTTGGGGGCTTTGTCCATCTGACTGTGCATCTCACTGAGGGGGTCCGTGTCTCCCCCTCGTGTGCGGTGCTGCCGTGGGCGCGGGGTGCCGGTGCCCCAACCAAGGGCTTTCACGCCCTTCACTAGCACACGATGGATCGGTCTGTCTGTATTTGGTGTCATGGCTGCTGGAAAATATGTCGGCGTGTGACTTCACTGAGATGTTTCTTCTCCCGGCGTCAGAGCGCAGACAGCGGTGGTTTGGTTGGGAGCTGTTTCATGTTCCCTCGGTTTGTCTGGGCACCATGATCACCACCCGTGTCTTCATGGAGAAGGGAAAAGACGGAGGATTCCAGCCCGAGTGCAGCGGGCCCCCCAGCGAGGCGCGCTCGCAGTTGGAGCCGCTGGAGGAGAGGGAGTGTCAGCCCGAGCTGGGGGAGGACAGGGCGGGGCCTCTGCGGGGGTCTTCCAGGTTCTCCCCTGGAAGCCACAGGGCCCTGGGCTCAGGGACAGACTCGCCGCCCGCCCCCTCCCCCCTGGCCATCTGAATGGTGGCGCTTTCTTCAGCATTTCCGTTTCCTGGCTTGGCTCCAGGGGACTCACTGGGAGCATATGACTCCCAGGGAGAAGTTCCAGCAGAAGAGACGCTGTAATTGCGTCGTCCGCTGACAGCAGGTGCCTTGGGGTGGGCGGTCCGCGTCCAGACTGCTCTGGGCTTCCCGCTGCCACCGTGGGCGAAGTGGGAGCTCCGAGCAGGGGTCCGGGCGGGGGCTGGGGAGGGGGGACCAGCACGTTCTGTTCTGCCCCCCCGCACCCGCGCACTGGGGTCCGAGCTGTTCAAGGTGGGAATTCTCCCAGCGCTTGGGCAGCCCCGTTTCCCACTCCCGCGGGACCCCAGATTCTCTGCCCGAGAGGCGGGGGAGGCGTGGGGAACACAAGGCCGAGTTCACTGGTGGTCCAGTTCCTAACACGACGTGACCGGGACTGGTCCACGGGGTGTGCGCCCCGGTGCACGTCACGCTGGTGACGGGGACCTGAGGTGGGTCCCCATATTTCTGGGGGGACTGGAGACTGTCCACATTCTGCCCGGGCCTCTGTGGAGCCTGGCGGGCGGAGTCGCTGACTGTCCAGGAAGTGTGACAATGGGGAACATCGCAACTTTCCGACCAGAGGCGGGTGGGGGTGGGGTTGCGGGTGGGAGGTGGGAGGAGCGGTGGCTTCCGGCCCTGGGCTGGGAGTGCAGTTGAGACTGCAGGGGGAGGGGCAGGGACCAGAGCCTGGAGCGTCTGTTGCCCAAACCAAAGCCACCCCTTCCGGGGATGGGCGGAGAGTTTCTCTTAAGAAACCCGGTCTTTTATTTACTAAAAATCAACTCTGGCCTTATGGGACAGAGGCTGGTTTCTTTACGACCTGGGCTGCCCAGCACACTGGCCTGGAAGCTGCAGAGTGGCCCCCAGGGTAGTGGTGGCCAGGCTCTTTGGGGTGCACACTCAGCACCCCTCTTCCCAGAGCTGCGCATACCAGGGAGAGCCAAGGATGAGGCAGGTCCCCAGTCCCTGGGACACATGGACCCGGGATCAGTCCAGAAGGTTCCAAGGGGCCAGGAGCTGAGGGTTGATGCTGTGCTGGGGACAGGCCGCCAGGTGCTGTGGCACTTCCTCAAGCAGAGGCCGCAGGGACCAGGGGACGTCTGTGCTCCCCCCTTCACAGGCTCCTACGTGTGCAGAGTCTGAGACCTGGACGGCGTCACGGAGTGTAGCCTGAGCGAGCCTGGGTCCTCCTTGGCCCACCGCCACCTGGAGCCCCCATCCCTGCCCTGTGCCGCGTGCCGGGAGGGTGAGTGGGCGCAGGGAGGCGTGGGGGGCCCTCGGTCTCTGCAGCCCACCGCAGGTCAACCTGGCTGGTAAGAATCACCTCAAGTGTGGGTGTCACAGATGCACAGGGTCACGGGGCGGCCAGGACGAGTGTCTCCCAGGATAACATGTGTCTGTGGTGAAAGGGTCCCCCTGAGGCCCCCGGATTCAGGGCCGCTGTCGAGAGGAACGCAAACAGGTTCACCCCACCTCTGGGTGCTCCGTGTAGCATCTAGCAAACGCGAGAACAAATATCGGAGACTCACAGTATCAAAGATGTTACTTTATTGGCCAAGTTTAACCTGCGCAGGGGCGAACTCTCAAAGTGTCCAGCGACACAGTGCCCACAAGGGGCTGCAAACCAGAGTCGCGCCGATCACTTACAACTACGTCCTTATACGGGGCGGGCAAGCAAGCGTTACACAGAAGCAGACGTGGCAGTTAGCAATTCGCTTACAAAGGCCACGCGCAGGAATTTCAAACCAAGCATTCTTGTACAAGGCGGGAAGGCAGGATGTTTGTTCAGTAACCTAGTAATCTCCTGGCTCTAGCTAGCTAGGTTCCTATTTTCTCATGGTCTAAGTGTTGTGGAAAATCCACCCACACGCGGGGAGATAATGAAGCACGAACTTTATTACCCGGGGGCCCAGAGGGGGTGGCTAACATCCAAATCCTCTGAGCACTGATCCTCACTCTCCCGGGGTTTAAATAGTCCCGGGCTTCCTACCTACGTGGCGAAGCAAGGTTACAGAAGCCGAATGCAGAAGTTAGGTCCAGCTACCTTACATGGGAGACAAAGAGAAAACTCAGGAGGAATTTGCAGAAGCTACAGAGCACAGGAGCTTATCATCGGAGTCTGCATACGACCTTGAGTAATGAGTAACTGGCCGTTGCTTTGGTTACGACTTGTCAGCTTCTACAGTCCTGTGTGAAACTTTGCAAGTGTTACAGTTACAGAGCATAAGAAACCTTTGGAGTTTTCTTTTCCTGCCACATAAGTTTTTCCCTACTCCTTACACCCCGCAGTCTGGGAGGAAGCTGGGGTTCTGCCAACTTCCCACCCAGTGCTCCCGCCACCAGGGCAGCGACCCTGGGATGAGGGACTGCACTTGGCGGGGGGACTTAAATCTGAGCAGGAGGCAGGCCAGGTAGAAAGGCCACAGCCTCCCCCGGACGTGTCTGCCTCACTGAGGAATAAAACACAAGGGATTTGAAATAAATATATTTCAGGATTCCTTGTCCTTCTGAGGAGAAGGCCATCGGTGTTTCAACAAGGACAGCCTGAGTCTGGGCTCGGCTTCGGGCAGCAAGGACGGGGTGACAGTGTTGCTCCTGCCGACCCTGAGCTCAGTGTGTCCCCCATCAGGTGTCCCCTCTTCGTCTCCTTTCTCGGTTCCTCCAGCCGTCAGGGCGCAGGCTGTCCACTCTCTGGTTGACCTTCTTCCCGGGTGGTTTCTGCTGTCGGATGCAGCCGCAGGAGGGGCTGACGACACCTCCCTCTGGTTCCCCGTCACTGCTGCACGGAAGTGCACCCGTGTCCACGTTGCGTCCTGCGACCTCACTGCCTTCATTTCCACGTTCTCACGGGAGTTTGCGGGTCCTCAAATGGTCCTACGTACCGCGTCCTGCCGTCTGCGAGCGGTGTGAAGGCTCCTCCTCCCTCGGATGTGCTTGCTGTGTGTCTCTGTCTCGCGTGACCGCTGTTGCTCGGACTCCCAGTGCTCTGGGGCGGGGGGTGGTGAGGGTGGGCGTCTGTCTCCCTCCTGATCGGAGAGAGGGAGCTTTCGGCTTCTCACCGTTGCATGTTGTGTCATGGTGTGTCTAGGAATTATGTTTTTTAAAAAGATTTATTTTACCTGGCTGGCGTAGCTCAGTGGATTGAGCGCGGGCTGGGAACCAAAGTGTCCCAGGTTCGATTCCCAGCCAGGGTACATGCCTGGGTTGCAGGCCATAACCCCCAGCAACCGCACATTGAAGTTTCTCTCTCTCTCTCTCTCTCTCTGTTTCTCTCTCTCTCACTCTCTATCTCCCTCCCTTCCTTCTCTAAAAATAAATAAATAAAATCTTAAAAAAAAAAGATTTATTTTATTTATTTTTAGGGAGATGGGAAGAGAGAGATAAAGAGAGAGTGACAGATCAAGGAGTGGTTGCCTCTTGCACGCCCCCTACTGGGGCCCTGGCTCACAGCCCAGGCCTGTGCCCTGAATGGGAATTGAGCCGGTGACCTTTTGGTTTGTAGGCCGTCACTCAAAGCCTGAACCACACCAGTCAGGGCAGGAATTATGTCTTGAATACACATTTTTATTTATAATTGTAACAAAATTGGATGCAGTGTATACATTTTGCTATTGTAGATTTTACTAATGAGCACAACTAAATATGAAGTTTTGTGTTAATACCAGTTTTTCTTTAAGAGTAACTCCTGCCAGTGTGATCCGTGGGGGTAAGGATAAATGTTTTCAGCCCTGGCTGGTGTGGCTCAGTGGTTTGAGCTCCGGTTGTGAACCAAAGGGTGGCTGGTGGATTCCCAGTCTGGGGCACATGCCTGGGTTGTGCGCCAGGCCCCCAGCGAGGGGTACACGAGAGGCAGCCACAGAGGGATGTTTTTCTGCTTTTCTTTATCCCTCCCTCCCACTCTCTAAAGACAAATAAAGTCATAAAAAAAAAAACTTGTTCAGGGCATTTGGTGTACAAGGAAAGACCAAAATAAACCACAGGAATGACCTTCAGGAGGGTGGGCCCCTTGTAGTCCAGGCTCCCCCACCAGGCGAGAGTTCCAGCAGCCCATCTGCATCCGTGACCACCTGGCGTTGTTGTGAGAGGCTGGGTTGGGCTTCAGTGAATATTTTTGACGACTCTCCCAGAGCACTGGCCCATTTCCCGATGGGTGGTTTACCAGCCCACCTGCCCACACCTGCAGAATGCTGAGCAGCTTTTGACCAAAACCCACGTGCCCATCCTCCCTGCTCACCCGATCTCACCCAGGGACACTATTTTTCTTTCCCGGGTGAAAAGTCCCCCTTTTTTAGTTTTTAAAATCAATTGTGGTTGTTAAGCCTGTGAAACCTACTTTTGCTGTTTTCGAATGCAAATCAGAAGAAAAGCAACATCTACATACATCATAAGGCAATAATAGAAATTAAAGCAGAAACTAAATTCTATGGGTTGTGCATACCTAAATTTCTAAATTCAGTGCAAGAAAACATATTAAGGGAAAAACAAAAGTAATAAGTCTGATTACATTTCAATCTTTGAGAGAAATTACATAGATATCAGGAAAGGCAAATCACATGGCAGTTTGAGCATAATGCAAGCCTGACTTCTTACGAGAGGATTACGAGAGGATTGCAGTTCTGCGCACCGACTCATCACCTCCTTTCTTACGTGGGTGTTGAGTTTTAATTTTACCCCTGCCAGAATGGTTTCTCATACCTTCTCCCTTGTTTTCAGTTAGGACTGCTAAGGGTTCCATAAAGGTGGCTACCTGCTGGTCTCTGATACGACCCTGGGAAAACAATTTGCAAATACACCGAAGTACACAAATCAATATCACAATCAGTAAACAACCAGCAGCTCCAAAAACCCAAATTCTCAAATTAATTCCATCAAACCATGTTTTAGGATTTAGCCAATTAATATTTTCATTAAGAGCTCGAAAAATGTCCTGTTTGGTTAAACGTTGAATGTCCTGCAGCTGCTGATGTAACTCCAACTGCAATTTATCAATTTGTCCTTTTAAGTTAGTGGAGAAAGCTCCCCTCAAGCGATGTTGTATATCAGTCTAAGTATGTTGGCTGGAATTCCACTGTAGCGGTGTGACGCACAGTCTGGAGAAACCAGGGTCACAGGTTAGGTGTTGACGAATCACGAGAGCGTCCTGGCGTTCGCCAATCCAGTCCAGTGCTGATTCAACTGCAGAAAGGCGGTCAGGATCTCCTGATCTATTTGGGCCTGTTGGACTAATTCTAAAGCAGCATTGATTAAACCATAAGTGCAACCAGGTGTTAACAAACTGTCGGACTCATAAAGAGGGCAGTGCATTGTTAAATGCTATAATGCCATTTGGATTCATTCATTTTCTGGTCATATTCTGGAGATAACAGATTTGGAAAGAGTTGGAAGGCACAATTAAATCATAACCACTATTAACGACTGATCTTGTTAGATTATGCAAAGAAACCTTATGTCATTATTCACTCCTTTAGAATGACAAATTCTGGAGGGATCAGGTAGGGAGAAAAATATAAAGTGTGAAGGAAAATCCTTTTCCTTCTGATATCTACCAGGCTTCTTAAAACTTTCACTTCCACAGACCTTCTGCAACATTCACAAACTCTCTATTCTTTTTCATACACTTTCTGATATCCACCAAGATTGCATCTTCATGCCTTATACCTTCCATTACTAATACACACCACATAATTCTTTCTTAAAATGTTTACTTCCACAGACTTTCTGTAACATTCACAAACCTAATCTTTCTTTCATACCCCTTCTGATATTCACCAAGATTGCATTTCCATGCCTTATACCTTCAATTACTAACATCACATAACTTCTTTCCTAAAACCTTTACTTTTCTATTTATCTTTACAGTTTCCCATTTACATTCCTAGAGTGTGAAGTTTCAACCTTCCCTGGAATCCTCAATTTCCTTTTCAGAGCAGATACAGAGCAAAATCCATCCTTCTCTGTGGGGGGTGAAGGTTGGGGCCTCCGTGATATGCTCACTCAAATTGCACACCGTTTCACTGTCAGAATCAGATTCCTCATCATCTAGCTCTGTTTTCTTTGCCCAAATGAACTCGAGAGAATCCCTGACAAGCCTCCAGGTTACAAAGGTGTGCACACCAATAGATATACCACTGTTTTGCAAAGATTTCAACCTTTCACCCACTTTTTCCCAAACATCAATGTCTAACGTCCCTCTATCAGGAAATGAAGGACAATATTTTCTTATAGATTATAAAAGCTGAACCAGATGCTTTTTTTTTCACCTTATATTTTGCTTCTTTAAGAACTTCTTGTAATATATGCAGAAAAGCTTTCTGCCCTTTATATAAGTTACAACCTATGTTTACCTTCCTTTTTTTTTCTTTTTAAAGAGAAAGCTTCCTTTTATTTATTTTTAATTGGCCAAAACAAATCACCTGATTACTTTTTTCAAGGCAAATCCTGTTTTTCCAAACTTGAGAATTAAATTACCATTTACCCAATTATAGGCGGTCGCGAAGAGAGAAACGACCTAGAAAAGAAAGACCTACTTCCCTGAAAATTCAACGCATCCTACGACATGCCCGAGAAAGAGTTCGGGGTCGTCGGCCCTTACCTGGGCTGTTAGCGCGCAAATCCACCCGAAGTTGATGCGTTGTCCACAGCGACGGCTCATAGCCGCTGGTTCCAAGTGGTCTCGAACGGGGTCCCACCTCTGTGGTCCCGAATCGCTGCCCCACGTTGGGTGCCAGCTGTTGCGCGTGGGTCACCGGCCAGCAGTGACCACGGAACGCTGTGGATGGCTCGACAATAAACACGCGAGAAATAACAACATGCACAGAGACAAACTAGTTTCTGTGGGGAAGTAGGGACGGAATGGCCACCCCCCCTAGTGGGGAGCGCGCTGATTTACCTTCCATACCTGCTTTTATTAGGCTCATCCTGCATAATAATTCAGGTAAAGTACAGCACTCACCAGGGGAAGTAAGGAACTATAGAAAACAAAGAACTCTGCCGGTCTATTTAGTTGGGGGTCAAAGAGCTGTAAGGCTGAGGAACAAACTAGCTTCCTCCTAAGACCCTTCTCATTCAACTGAGAGCATTCCAAACAAAGAAGGTTTCACAGTAATTTACATGTTCTTTCTTAGGCCTGATCACCCCGGGAAATCCGCACTTCCCAGTACCGAGCTGTACTACCCTGTCATTGTTTCAGGCTTAGGTGGAGCACCGGAACTAAGGCCACCGAGAGATAAGGAGATTTTCTTCCAGACGCTGAGAACTCAGACTTTGTCAAAGCCGAGGAGTGAGGGTCCATTACCCCCTTTTGCTGCAGCCCCCGAAGTCCTTCTTTTGGGGGGGGCCTCCCAAAGTGATCGTGCCTGGCTTGGGTCGTTCCCCCGTGGGGAATCTTACCCGTCTTTGGCTAACCCGACCAAGCTTTTTGGGGTTCAGCAGCAGAAGCAGCATTCCTGCCAGGGAGATAAGCTTTTGTCTCCTTGCTGGCTCACGGTTCCAAGGGCGTTCCCTTAGCCTTAGCTAGGCGGGGGTTTCAGCCTCTGATACCAGTCAGGGCGGTTCCCAACAGAAAAGAGTCCACAAAGGGAAACGTCCCCACGTGGAAGACGTGAAGCAAAACGGCAGAAGCTCTGAGAGGCGTCAGAGCCGCCGAGTGCAGAGAGTGTTCAGGGCGGTGGAGGGACGTCCCCACGGGTGTCCCCCATCCAGAGGGGAGCATGTGAGGGGGACCGAAGGGCAAAGGTGTGAGAATAAAAGCAGAATTTTTATGAGTAAATTCTCTTGTTGGGTCGCCCCTTGAGTACATGTGGCCAAATGCATCCACAGGAGTTCACATTCTCGTGAAACACAGGATGTAATTTTCATTCTAAGTTACTTAAATTTCATTTTTTTATGTTTTATATTTTAAAATGGCCTGTGATAGGAATGAAAAACAATAAATATCCTCCAAAATATGTGGAAATGTGTTCCGCACTCTGGAAACTTTTAGGCTTAGACCATTCGGGTAATTTAAAGCACAGGGGTCCAAGGCCCTGGGCTTCTGCCCTGGCTGACAGGGGACCCTGTGGGAGGGGCTGACCAGGAGGGAGGTGAGGGGGCAGGACGTTCTGGCTGCTGTGCGGAGCGCGGCCTGCAGGGGGCAGCAGCGGGATTGAGACTCAGAGCAGAGCGTCCTGCCTTCCTAGGGGGTGGTTTGCGCGTGTGCACCTGGCTGGGGCAGGGAAGTGTGGGCCAGTGGGGGGTTCTAAGCAGGTTCCCACAGGAGAGCCCGGTGCTCCCTGCTGGTGAGGGATAAGGTACCTGCATTACTGCTCCATGTTTCATGGCTGATTTCCACGGTGGGATCCAAGGGGAAGAGACCCCCAGGGGACATTTGCAGAGGAGGCTCTGGGGTCACCAGTGATGGCGGTGGTGCCCGGGTCGGCCCTGGGGAGGCAGCCTCTCCACGTGGAACCCTCCTCCTCCTTCCAGGTGGTCCCTGCTGCCCAGCCCCTGCTGGCCTCTCTGTGTGCACAGCAGGTCAGGATGGGGAGGTGCCTGGTGCCCCGTCTGCCTGCCCTCCCTGTGTGCCTCGCCGTGGTCCAGCTGCTCAGCCCCTGCTCAGGTAGGACCGGCTGTGCGTCTGCGTGTGTGAATCCTTTCCCTTCGGGCCCAGCCAGAACCCGGGACTCCACCCACCCCTGCGAGCCTGTCCACACCGCACCTGTGTTAGGGCTGATATACCATCTAGGTGTCTGTCACCTCACCCTCCCTTCCTGGGTCACCCCCTGGGTGTCTGACCCTGCTCACTCTGACGGAGCCCCCACTTCTGATGACCAGCTGAGTTTGCTGTGGTCGGACCCCCCGAGCCCATCCTGGCCATGGTGGGTGAAGACGCAGACCTGCCCTGTCACCTGTCCCCAGAGATGAGCGCTGAGACCCTACAGCTGATGTGGGAGCGACCCGGCCGCAGGCAGGTAGTGCACACGTACGCACACGGGCAGGAGGACACGCCGGCAGAGGAGTTTCGAGGGAGAACTTCGATTATAAGAGAGGACATCACTGCGGGGAAGGCCGCTCTCAGGATTCACAACGTCAGCGTCTCTGACAGCGGAACCTACCTGTGTTATTTCCAAGATGGAGACTTCTATGCAAAAGCCCAGGTGGAGCTGCAGGTGGCAGGTGAGCCTCAGGCTTGTTCCAGGCTCCTTTCCCTGGATGTGAGCAGAGGCTGCAGACCTACCCCAGAGCACGTGGGCTGCTCACCAGCATGGGTGCCCCCCCACCTCCATCTCTGCTGCTCTGGGGCCCGTGACACACCCAGGGGTCCCCCGGGGTGACTTCCTCCTGCACCCAGTACAGAGTCCCCCACGCCGCCCACCAGTCTCAGCAGGGGAGTGCAGGTCGGGGACGGGAAGGCTGGGGACACCTCCCCGCAGTGTGGGGCACATGGGTGTTGACTTCAGCATCTTCCAGACCAAGGCCGTGGTCCCCCAGGTGCCTACTCCTGTGGGTCCAGGGGTCTGACCTGCAGGGACAACACCTGTGGGGCCCACGTCCCCCACCAAACCCCCGGGAACACAGCTGCAGTTGAACAGGTTGTGACGTCCTGGGTGCAGCGAGGGAAGACGCTCCCCTGGGGACGGGGACACCGGGGTGTCTCAGAGAGGGGGCGTCAGGGAGGACTCGGTGCGGTTTGGGGGGATGTGGAAGCAGCGCTGGGCTCTGGGTGGGACGCGGTCAGGATGGTGCAGGGTGTCACTGGTCACTCACAGCCGGCCCAGGGAGGTGGGTCCCTGCACACGGTTCCTGTTTCCTCTGTGCTGTCACCCAACCCTTCAGTGGCCTTAATGTGGCCCTGACCCACCCCGGTGACGGATCAGTTTGAGGTATTGCCTGACAAAAGTGCTCATACTGGGCGTCAGGGCTGCAGTTCGAGTCCTGTGGACACCGTCCTGCCCTGTGGCTTCCAGTGCGGGGGGGCTGGTGGAGCGGGGACGGTGCGGCCCCCTGGCCTTGTCCCCGCACGGCCCCTCCTCAGCCTGCTGTCCCTTCCTGGAGACCTCGGCTCCCCCGACAGAGCCCTCCCTGCAGGACTCTGTGTGTTCAGGTCCTCAGAGGGCTGCCTCCCCCTCCTTGTGTTCAGGGGCGTGGGGACAGGTGGTAGTAGCTCCCCTCTACCTGGCCCTGCATCCACTCTCTTCCGTGGGAACGTTTTCCGCTGTGCACAGCCTCGCTGTGGACACTTCCGGGGGAGACCCTGGAGGGAGAGCCGACCAGCCTGGCAGTGAGGGCAGCAGCAGCCTCCCGAGGGGCCGTGCACAGAGTCACTGCTCGGGCAGCTGCCCTGACTCGTATGCCAGACCCCTGTGTGTCTCCTCCTGCTCATGGGAGGGCACGGCCCCCACAGGACAGGCAGCACGGACAGGGGCAGTGGGGTGCGACCCACTTAGGCTGAGGGGCACCACCTCCATGCTTGCGCAGGGAGGGGTGAGGGGCTCTGCCAGGGACCAGCCTGTCTGGGGCAGGGGGGAGGGGAGGCTGCGGCAGTCTCTAAGGGGACTTGGGGAAGCAGCCTCTGCTCTGGCCCAGAGCCCCCTGGATCCAGCACGAGGGTCCAGCCATGGTCAGGCAGTGGCCCCATCAGGGGATCAGTCTCTGCTGCACAGCACACGCTGGGAGCAGCTCCTGGTGAGTCCCTGCTGGGCTCGTCAGTGTGTGCCCCTCCCTGCTGTGGAGACCCCTCTAGTACAGAGGGCTCCCCATGATTCAGCTCACTTCTCCTCCCCAGCGCTGGGCTCTGATCCCCACATTGACATGAAGGGCTACGAGGCTGGAGGGATCCGTGTGAACTGCACGTCTGCCGGCTGGTACCCGCAGCCCCAGATCCAGTGGAGAGACGCCAGGGGACAGAGCTTGCCCTCGGAGGCAGCATCTGCGGCTGCAGACCCCCAGGGCCTTTATGCAGCCTCAGCCTCTGTGATCCTGGAAGGCGGCTCTGGGGAGGGGGTCTCCTGTGTCATCAGAAACAACCTGCTGGAACAGGAGAGGTCAGCCAGGCTTTCCATCCCAGGTGAGTGCCCTGCCCCCTGCCTCGGCCTCCTCGGTGCCCCTGAGGCAGGGCCAGTGCTCTGCTGCTGACCTGGGTCCCTGCGGGACATGAGGGCACAGAGCAGGGACCTGGGCCCTGCCCCTGAAGCGATTCATGTCACAGACACCTTCTGAGCTCTTCCTGCCACACACGGAGCCAGGCAGTGGGACGTGGAGACAGATGGGAAAGTTCAGCAAACACACCAGGAGGGGAAATAGGTACACCCAAATCTCAGTGAAAGCGCTAATCTCCTTACAACATAAAGGAACACCGTGGATAAAAGAGCAAAAACAGGAATCATCAGTTCCCAGGAAGGTAAAACTCCCAGGAAGATGCCAAATCTGACAAAACGGAACTATTTCCCCCTGGGAATTTGGCAGCAGCAGGACACACGAGGGGGTGAGCGCCCTCTGGTGGCGGGCTGTGGGGAGACAGCCCCGTAGCCGTCTGTGCTCCCGGTGTTGGATGGTGTTGGGGGGGGGTCGGCCCCCGTGCTGTGGGGGTGCAGGGCCGTCTGCACCGGAACTGCCCACTGACTGATGCCAAACCCACTTCTGGGGACCACCCCACGGGCCAGCCTGCAGCGGGGGACATGACGCCTGTGACCGGATACTTTTAAACCAGAGATCCCCGGGACAAAGGGCAGAGCCTGGGGTGCCCACCAGAGGAGACCCAGTGGGCAGTGGGTGCTGCCCTGCGGGAGAGACACGGGCCTGCTGGCTGTGCTGGAGCGGGCAGGTCGCCGACACAGGACGGGATGGACACCATGCACAGCAGCCGTATAGGGGCTGTTTCCACTATAAACCAGGTGAAATAAACTATTCAGTTTTCAAAACTGAATGAAACCTGCGTGGCACTCACCCTGCGTCAGGCACTGCATAAGCACTAAGTTAATGCTCTCACTGATCAGGACGCAGTAACAGACGGTTACGTCATTAGTTCAAGGTCACAGGGCTGGTCGTGCAGGAGACCCGGGACTGGAACCCAGGCCCCCAGCCCCAGAGTCCATTCTTCGTCACCTGACTCCGCTGACTGAGGGGGGGCAGGTAGTCAGTGGGGGGCGGGGTGCAGCGGGGACGTCAGTGACACTGTGTGTGCGTCCTCGTGCTCCCTCTCATCCCATGCGGGCGGAGACATTTCTGAAAACCGTCCTGACTGTGTGACAGTGAGAGTCTGGGCGCTCTGGGGACAGAAAGATCAGGTCAGGGACTGACGCCATCTCTTCGCAGGTGCCTTTTTCAAGGACACAGAGCTTTGGGTGGTGTTGCTCGCCGTCACCGTGGTGCTTCATGCCATGTTCCTGTTGTGTGTGATGTGTTTGCTGCGCCGCGGGTGGAAGAGGAGCCAGGCCCTGCTCCAGGAGAAGGGGAGAGAGCACGAGCAGAGAGAGAAGCAGCGGGCGCAGAGCTGCAGCGGCAGTGGCAGCGAAGCGCCCAAGGTGAGGCCCAGCTGCAGTAGGTCACGACCTCCCTGCCCAGCCCACCCCCTGCATCCTCTTCTGCATCCCCTTGTCGGGACTTCCTTTTTCTCTTTATTTCCAGAGACGCTGCAGGACGTGCTCAGTAAGCCCCCATCCCCGTCCCTGTGCGTCCCCAGCGTGCACTGCTCAGCCTTTCGGGCGGCGTCCGCTCCCCCCACTAGAGCCCGGAGCAGCCGCTGGGGAAGACCCCACTCTGCTGGCCTAGACCTCGGGGTGCACAGGGGGGCGCAGAGGGCACGGGGCTTGTACGGCTTCCCGGGGCTGCGAATCGTCCTCCCCAACTCGGGGCTGAAAGACACAGAACTGACCATGTCCCGGATGTGGAGGCCACAAGTCTGATGCAGGTGCTAGTTGCGAGAGGGGCAAGCTGGCTTCCTCCGAGGCGTTGGGGTGGCATCCCACCAGCCCTTGCATTTACCTCGTCGGCGGGTGGCCAGCTCTCCCGGGTGCTCTGTGGTGTGAGCGCCCATCAGTCAGCACCGGCCTCTGTCCTCACCCGGCCTCTTCCCCGTGGGTCTGTCTCCTGATGACCCTCAGTGGGCACTGGACGTAGGGCCCACTCTCGTCCAGTACGGCTCCCTCGTCTGCAAAGGCCACATTCCCAGGTCCCAGGGGTCTGGATGCAAACCTGTCTTTCTGGGTTCAACTACAGCCCCCCGTCTAGGATGACCCGGTGGTGTTGGGGGCAAGGCTGCACCTGACCCCACGAAGTACTTTTCTCTGCTACTGCACGGCCCCAGCTGAGCTATCAGGCGAGGTGGCATTTCCCCCAGAAGTGGTTGGGGAGGGCTGTGTTGCAGGCCCCTGCCACCAAAAGTCACGGCTTTCTTCTTCAGTCACAGGGAGGCACCCAGCCCAGGGTGAGGCTGCTGCCCCGGGACATGGAGCACTGCCCGCCAGCTGCCTCCGCGGACAGCACACTGGTGCTGCTGGAACACCAGGGCTTATCCGTGCCGTCCTCTGAGGATTCTGAGGACAGTGTCGAGTTGCAGGAGGTGGTCAGCCGGGAGCAGGCACTGCAGACCCAGGTACCTCCAGGTACCCGGTGCAGAGTGGGGTGGCAGCCCCCCTCCCCGCCCTGGAGCAGGTGAGGGGCATCTGGGCAGGTGTGACTGCAGGGACACCTGGGTGTGTGGCGCACATGCCGTGTGCAGGTAGGGGACTCGCAGTGCTGCCCTGCCTGCCCTAACTTCCTGTCTGAGCTTCCTGGGTGACCGAGACGCAGCCCCACAGACCAGGCAGCTTAAAGGACAGAATGTTACTGTCTCCCTGTGCTGGGGCGGATGTTCAGGTTCCCGTGGCGTTGTCCCCATGTGCGTGTCTGTGTCCCTAAAAGAGGACACTGGTCTTGTCACGTTAGGGCCTCATCTCGACAGGTCACACTCCAGCGACCCAGTTCCCAGATAAGTCCCCACTCCTGGTTGTTGGGCTTAGGACGCTCACATCTTGCTGGACACAGTGCAGCCTGTGACAGCCCCCACCACACCTGCTCCCCGGGGCCACCGAGACCCAGGGACTGAGCTCTCCCAGGTCCTAGCGCTGGGAGGGCGCTGCCTGGAGGAGGCCCGGCTCATGAGCACTGACCCCTCGGGGTGTGCAGGGGGCGGGTGGAGAGGACATGCTCAGTGACCACGGCCCCTGAGAGTGGATTCTGGGCAGTGGGGCGGTATCCCTGGAGTGACCACCGGGCTCTCACGGGCCCGCAGACCACACTGACAAATGTGACCCCCCCCCGGAGCGCGTGGGGGTTTCCTGGACTTCGGGTGCGGGACGTCCCTTCTGCAGGCCGTCCGTGCGTCACACGGGGTGCTGCACCTTCCCGCACCCCCTTCCCGGGCCTCTGAGGCCTGTTTGAAAAGACTTGGACTCGGGAGCCCACTCCCTCGTGCGTCTGCCCTGCGGGGAAAGCAACGGGGGGTTACTTCCCCGGTGCCTCACCCAGGGCCTGGCCCCGCCCTGGAGCCCCCGGTGGTCCCAGGCTCAGCAGGTGGCAATGGGGGCCCTCAGGCTGAAGAAGCGTCTCTGCTTCTCACTGCCCTGCCTGCAGCTGAGGGCGGCCTCCTGCACCGCAAAGCAAGCCAGCGAGGAAACACGCACCAAAAACACACCCAGTGAGGGCTTCACGGACATGCACTCGGTCTTTCCCATGGGAGAGGAGGACCCCGGGGTGCAGACCGAATCAGCCGTCCTGAGCTGGCTCGGCCGGCTCCCCACAGCCCTAGCTGCACCAGTAGGTGACTCCAGGGCACCGGTGCCGGCTGCCCAAGGGGAGCCTCACCCACTGACCCTCTCAGCCACCCTGGGACGTAGCCCGATTCTGAAAGTGGGAAACTGAGGCAGGCCCACGTTAAGTGTCATAGGTAACGCACACGGAATTCAGGGCTGCACAGAGATGTCCGACCCCTGCCCCTCCCTCTCCTCTCGTCTGCCCCTTGGCTGCTGACGGTCCCCATTGGGCAGGGTCACGGGCAGCCCTGAGGGTCCCTTCCCAGGGCACCAAGGGTAAAGGGCACTGCAGGTGACTGAAGGCCACCCCCACTGGGATCCTTCAGGGTCGACTGTCAGAGCCACGGTCCACCGCTGCACTGGCTCTGCAGGACGCTGTGACCCAGGGGGTGAATTCCCGGTGACCCCATCACCCGGGGCTGAGAAGGGACCAGCGGCCACTTTCTACCGCACCCCGTGACCTGGGGGCACAGAGCAGACCCAGCCCTCCCCCTTCACCCCTCCAGGTCCTAGCGCAGCAGGAGTGTTGGATCAAAGACGCAGATGGAAGTCACTGGAATCTCTTTGAGGCAGTGGAATCCACGTCCATCAGAGGCACACCCACCGCTGACCGCCACTGAGGTCCCCGAGGTTCCTGTCACCTGTGCATCCTGGGGAAAGGCCGCTCTTCCTCATCATCACCACGGTGACTGTTCCCGGTGTGCCCCCGGTACCCCGCCGTGGGTGGCAGTAACGGTCACCCTTCAGTGGAGCTGCTTCTGCATCCAAGGCCGCACGGCTCACCCCCGGGGTCTCCGTTGGCCTCCCCGCGGCGTTCTCACAGAGCCCTCGCCGCGCTGCTGTTGCTTTGCCGCTGTGATGACCCACCGCTCGCTTCCTGACCTGACACAGCGCACGACGGTCACCCTGCGTCTCTGTGGGTGGGAGCCCGCGTGGCTCTGGCTGAGCCGAAGCCAGGGTCTCGCTGGCCGGGTCCTCTCTGCAGGACCCAGGGACGGGTGTGGGTTGCTAACTCCCACGGCTGCCGGAGCTGCGCTCCCTGTGGTGGCGGGACCCAGGGCCCTTCTTGGTGCTGTCGGGAGAGCTGAGGCCACGCCAGGCTGGGAAGGTGAGGGGTCGTTCAGCAGGGACACGTGTGAGGGCACAAGTCAGGTGCAGGGAAGGACCTGGGGACGGTCCCAGCCTCGGAGTCACTGCGGGAGGGGCTGTGGCCCGTGAGCTGACGGCAGCATCGAGGACCTTGACCTGCTGACCAGTGCAAGTGTTACAGAATGGGGCGGGGGTGGGGGGGGTGAACAATATAGTGTTCTGGAAAGGACCCCCCACTGCGTTAGGCCTGCCCGCCCCCAGGGGAAAGACATCTCAATGCCCGAGACTGGTGAAAAGGAAAGGAATTATGTATTCCAAAGTTGTACAAACTTAAGAATTATGACTTAATGTCTTCATTCAAATACCAAAGTCCTTTAGAATCCCCACAGACGCACACAGTCCCCCTGGGCCCAGTCCTGGGTACCACGTCTCAGGAGAAGAAGTAGAAGTCCGTGGCTCAGGCAGCCCCGGGGTCTGGCACCATCAGCCTCATCTTGCCGCGATCTCCAGCTAATCCAAACCAGGCGGCACCTTCCCATGGCCCAGCAGCAAGAGTCCTTTCACCCCTTTTCTTCCGGGAAAGTCTCTCCTGCTTCCTAAGCCACGTGGCAAAAGGCAGCACCCCAAAGCCTGGGTTTCAATCCCAGCACCAGTCTTTCTCTGCAGCCCCATTTCCGACTCCCCACAATCAGTGACACCCGCCAGCACTCCCGGATCCTCCCAGCTGTACTGGGTTGCCATCGTGAGTCCAGGCAGGCGTGGCCCCGTGGCGTGGAGCCAGTCTCCTCCAGGCTCTCACGCAGGCGCTGTAACCAGAGGGAGCTGCCTCCCAGTTACATGTTGGGTGGAAGTCACTTCCATCCCCCTGGCTCAGAGCCTGGCCACATTATTTAACATATCCGTGAAACTGGTTAAAGGTTATAGACATGTTAAATGCCCACGCCAGAGGTCAGCTGCAAAGCTGCTCTGTGCAACACAGCTCTGCATGGCCCTGCCCCATGGGTGCCATCCCCCAGCTCAGACGTGTGGGGGTGAGGACATCCTATATATAGATGCTATTTTCTAATATTTCCTGGACACCCTGAGTTCTGGACCACATTCCAGATCCCCATTTGGGCCCCCCTTGGCTGCACCCTGTCACAGAAGGACAGAGCCAGTGGCGTTAGCTGCCATGGGGCCTCCGGCTGGGCAGGCCGTGGCCTTGTGACCCTGACTGCCAGTCTGGTCTTCTGAGGCCTCCAGGGACACACTAAGGACGTGCGGGAAATGTTGGGAAGTGGGTCTGGGCAGATCATTCCAGAAGAGGCGCATACAATGGCCAAATTGCCGTCTGCGGGGTCCGGGAAGGGAGCATGGAGTCGGTGGCGGGTGCCGGACCCCACCAGGCCTTCTCGTGGCGGACAAGGAACCCTGGGCTCCCTACCATGGCCTGGGGACACTGGAGAGCCACCCCCCAGCCCCGAGGGTCAGAGAGGGCTTTGCCTCTCACTCGCGGTGCTCAGGACTCTCACCCCAGTGTCTGACTGAGTCACCAGGCTGCCCTGACAGTGGCCGTAGCTGCCACACCGCCCCCTCCCAGCTCTGCCCTGTGTCCCCCCGTCTCTTCCCTCCCTAAGCCCAGCAACTTGAAGGAAATTCCTTGGCTTAGGAAAGTGGGTGTCCATGCACCACACCCCGCCACCTGCCCCGCGGCACACACCAGGCCTGCTTCCGTGGCCCACTCTGTGGACCGTGCGTGCGTCAGTCTGCGGGGACAGGTCTGAGCGGGAGGAGGGAGGGGGCGCCCCACACTAAGTGGGCGTCTGCTGGCAGCACCCAGGCCACAGGGACCTTCGCCTCAATCGGAACTGTGGTGCCACGTCTCCCTGTGATTTCCCCACATCTGCCCCCCAGGCGGGTGGTCCTGCCTCTTCCCCGCCCCACCCCGCCCCCGCTGGGTGACGACTCCTTGGACCTACGGAGCTGGCTGCTTCCCCGCTCCCTGCCTGACCCCCTGCTCTCTTCAGTGTCCCCCTGCCAGCTGGAGCAGCCCAAAAGTGAGAATGTCCCGGCTCTGTTTGCATTGGGCAACCAGCTGCGGTTCCCTCCTCTCCCAGGCTGTGGGCCGGGGTGGGCATCCTTGGAGGAGATTTTGGAAATTAAAGGGATAGAGCTCCCCCGTGCTGTGCCAGGGCTGTGCCTGTCACCCTCTGGAAGGAGAGGTCACTTCCCCTGGAGGATCCTGGGAGAACCGTCTCCTTGCCGAGCCCCCACTGGCCCCCACACACCCCGTAGGTCCTCCCCAGAGGCTGCAAGACCTTGTGCGCTGAGCGGAGAGGGAGGGACAGCGGCGGGGTTCAGGGTGGTCCCGGGGCTGAGGTCGCAGCCCCGAGACAGCTGGGTGTGTGTCTGGGGTCCGCCGGCGGGAGGCACTGTGCTGGCCCAGGGGCCCCGCGGAGGGGCGGGGCAGGAGCACCTTCCCGGCCTGCTCTGCTAAGGCTCCCGCGGGCGGCTGGCGCTGGGAGCTGCCAGGGGCAGTTCTGGGTGCGGGAACCGCCGGCGGCAGACAAGGCAGCACGGAGCAGCCGGAATCCCGGGGCAACATTTTAGAAAGTGACACAAATTGGAACAATTCTCAGCGGCCTTCTGTGTTAGGTGGACGAGTACTAGGACTGAGATTTTTAGTAAATGTGAATGTTTGCTTGGACGTGGTACCTGCATTCACCTATGGACATGTGGTTTGGAGGGAAATCAGCCTTGACGTTGCACTTTTCAACAATGTCTTTAGTAATTCAATGATGTAAATTTAATATTCAATTTGAAGACTTAGCCTCACAAGTCTTCTAATTCTATAACTTGCTCTTGAAATGAAAATTCTTTAGCCCTGGCTGCTGTGGCTCAGTGGGTTGAGCACCAGCCTGAGAACCAAAGGGTCACCCGTTCGATTCCCAGTCAGGGCACATGCCTGGGTTGTGGGCCAGGTCCCCAGTGGGGGGTGTGTGAGAGGCAACCACACGTTGATGTTTCTCTGTGTCTCTTTTCCCCTCCCTTCCCCTCTCTAAAAATAAATATATAAAATCTTTTAAAAACTTCTTTGAAGCTCTAGAAATACAATGTCTTTATTTTTCTTTAAGATTCTATTCACTGCCCCAACGACCCTCAGCCCACAGACCCCCTCACTGGGTGGGGGGAGTGGGGGGGCTTAACTCTCAGCAGGGGCCCAGGCCAGTTAGAGAGGCCGCAGCCTCCCCGCCAACACGTCTGCCTCAGTGACGAACAAGCAGCAGGTGCAGCATCTCCGGAGGGCCCAGGGCCCGAGGGACCAGACGGGGCTTTCCCAGAATCTGAGGCTCAGCGAGGTTCAGTGACCCGCCTACCGGCACACAGCTGGGGGCTCCTCCGACCTGTGGCGGAAGTTCTCGTACGTTCCCGCCCCCCCCGCGCCCCCCGGGGCTCGCCTCCCTACCCCCAGTTCCCGTCCCTTCCTCCAGGCTCGTCTCTCTCCGCTCCCGCTCACCAACTTTCCTTCCCCCGGGCTCCCCTCCCTTCCCCCGGTTCCCTCCCTTCCTCCAGGCTCCCCTCCCCGCTCGCCTAATCTCCTTCCCGATGATGCCGGAGTTGCCGTTTGCAAGAATAATACACAAAACTTCCTCGCTCTCAGGGCCGCCCCACTGCCTCTCTCAGGTGAAAACGCTGGGGCTGGGCACTGCGCGCCGCCCCCTCCGAGGGAGCCGAGCGCAACGCCCCCGGCGGGCCCCCGACGCAGAGCGGGATCGGGGTCGGCGCCTCCGGACTGTGTGGGCACAAGGGGCGTGGCTATGCGGGGCAGTGCCGCGAGTAAGTGCGCCAATCCCAAAGCCGGTAGGGGACTAGGTTCCCACCCACGCAGGAGTCCCGCCAATGGAACCCAGCTCAGGCATGTGCAGAGCTCAGGGAACCACCCTCCACTGCACGGGGCACAGGACGGGTGGGCAGTCCGGATGGGTGGGAATGTCCCCTGTTCTGTTCCAGCTGACGGGGACCGCCCCCGCCCACCAGACTTTCCAGCGGAGCCCGGCCCGCCCCGGCCCCACCGACAGCTGCGGGTCCCTAGAGTACTGGTCCCCAGGCCACTGCTGCCTGCTCTGCCCCGCGGGTGAGTCCGGGACGGGTCTGCCTGGAGGGACCGCAGAGTCCACGTGTGTCGGGCCGGGGGGAGGGGCCCTCTCCTGACAGTGAGGGGGGAGGCGGGTTAGCAGCACCCATGAGGTGGGACGTGGCCCCAGGGGACACCTTGTAGAAGGAAGCCCCGTCTGCCCTCAGCGAGGGTGGCAGGAACCTGCTGGCCCAGTGAGGTGCTCCTGGGTCCTGAAGGGCACACCCCTGTGGGTGGGAACGGGGCGGAGCTCCTCCCAGAGGCTGAGCCTGGGCCCTGGCTGGGAGGCGGAGCGCTGGGACCTGCTCCTGCTAACCAGAGGCGCGACCTCGGGGTCCTCAGCGTCTGCGGGTTGGGGGCCGGGGTCCGTGTGCAGCCCACAGCACAGCTGCCAGAGGGGCGGGTGCAGGACAGGGATAGGAGGCCGAGGTGGGATCCTGGTCAGTCTGTGCTTCCTCATGTCCAAGAAGGAGTGACGTCCAGAGGTCACTTTGATCCGAAACTGCAGACAGAAGTGTTTCCCTGTTCCCACTGGCGGGGCGGTTCCCAGGACGGGGTGGGCAGGCCGCACAGCAGGGACGCCCCTCGAGCCTGGAGGGGTCTGACCACAGCGCCCACCTCCTGCACAGGGGAGCATGTCCGTGAACCCTGCAGCCACCCCCACACCCGGGGACAGTGCGACAAGTGTGACCCAGGCACGTTCACCGAGTTCCCCAACGGCCTGGGGTCCTGCCTGCTGTGTGGCACCTGCTCCCAGGGTGAGTCTCCCCCAGGCACCTTGCCTGACCTTGACCTGCCAGCCCCTGACCCTGCCGTGGCCGGACCTTCACGTCGGGCCTCGGGACTTAGCCACAGGGACGCTCACGGTGCAGCCGAGACACGTGAGGGGAAAGCGGGGCCTTCGGGTGAAGGAGGGACGTCCCGGTCGCGCAGTGCAGAGGTCATAGCCCCCCAGAGACGCGGCTGGAGACGTCCGTCAGCTCCCATGTCGGTCCCCACGTAGTGTGACAGCAGGAAAGTGACAGGACCCAGAGAGCCACTCCGGTTCCACATTCTCAGCCCCATGTCTATTTTGTCATCGTGTTCACATGGGAAGGTGCTCAGTCCGATGTGGGAAACTGGGAAATCCCACGCACACGCACACGGAGAGGGAGCAGGGTCAGCATCACCCCTCAGGGAGTCAGGGATGATGTACTGCGTGTCACCAGCCCCTTCCACCCTGGTGGGTGCCGTGGTCCGGCCGCAGCTGGGTCCAGGGGTTCCTGAAAAGTGGGTGAGGCGTCAGTGATGGGAGACAGACGACAACACGACTCAGAGGACGGTGAAGCTCTGTTCCGTTTATTGCAAGTACAAGCAGGTTTTTATACTTTCATTTTCGGCAGTGATTGACATTTTCCGTTAGGCGAAGCAGGAACTTTTCTACCTGGATATCAGGTCACGCTAGTCTAGTGACCTCAGACAATTAAAACTAGCTGTATGTGCAGAGTTTGAATGTCTTATTGTATATTAAAGTTCTCAGAAAAAGGATACACTAGATTGAGTAGAGGTTATAGGAAATTTATTATAAGGCCTTTGTGACGTCTAACTTAGCTATCTATCTTTTCTGTCTAAAATGTTTCTCTATGCACCATGGACTCTGACTCCCTGGTAACTGTTTCTACGTGCTTAGTTTGGAATAGCTAACCAGCTTTGCTTATTTCTTTGCCTGTCTAATTCTACTTGATGTATATTCCTATTCAAGGTAAAGGCGGGGCTGTTACTCCTACAACTTTTAGACATTCAGGGCTATTTCATTAGAGGGGATTTTGTTCTCTGGTCAAGAAATTATTTTGTACAACTTCATTGGAATTATGCGAATCAATAAACCTGAGGTACAGGTGTCTGACAATCGCACCACCTTTTGCTCACCAAAACAAACATGTAAGGAGAGATAGACAGGACATCCAGCCACAGTAAACCTTTTGACCTAAAGGTGATAGACAGTTTTATTGGATTTTGTAGGGTACAGGCCATTCTTGACTTTCTCATGTCTTACTCTATTTTCGTTTGGATAGTTCAGAGAGTTCTTTTTTGTAGCTCCTGCCTGATAGGGGGAAGTGTGGGCAAAATCCTTTGACAAGCTGGCGGAGTAGTGACTTTTTTTGTTCCTTAGTTAATGAACACCAGGGGGGTCTGCTTCGAGCTAGCCTTTCCACGAAATTTAGACTATTATAAGGCACTTGGACTCCATCCTTACTGACCGTTCTAATGCCACCCTCATTATATGCTCCTGTATAAGGCAATGGGGGATCTGGAACCGTCTGGAGACTATTAGCTACTCTTGGGGATGCCATAATTTGCCATTAATCCAACATGTTACCCAGGGGTATCCTTGGGCTGTGGGTAAGGGTCTATATAATTTTTTTCTTGTTTTCTAGAAAGACTCTTTGTATCTATGGGTAAGGAACAGGGGTGGGAAAGTCCGCCAATAATTCAACCTGTTGTAACTGATTCATGAATTCTTTTATGGGAACAATCGGGCATAGTTTCTTCCTCAGGTTTATAAACTCCTTGTTTAAAACAATTTGGGCATAATTCAATAGTCTAGGGAAAACTAGTTGTCCCTTCAGAATTTCCCTCAAAATCAATCATTGACTCTTTTCAAGCCTCTTTCTCCTCATGGCCTGTTCTTATGGGAATCAGGGTACAAAGTAAGACCATGATTAATATTAGCAAGGAAATTAGTAAGAGCAATCCCCAGGAAAATTACCGCCCCCCTTTGTATGCCACGCTCTCTTCCAGGAAGATGGATTCCTTGAATGCCCTCTTTCCACGTTCAGACCTTGTCAGAAAACAAGGTTGGAGGAGGGCGTGGCAACCACCCAAAGACCCACCTGCACAGTCTGAAAATGACAGAACCCCCTGAAGGGGGTCAGAGGGGGTCGTCTCATGACGTTGGGTGGTGTTTGTGGCCCACATGACATGTGGTCACCTGGGGGGTATCTCTGTCTCAGTGCCTCACGGAGTTCCCGTCCCCTTGTGCGTCCACAGTCCTCTGATGACAGGGGTCCTCCTTCCCGTGGTGACGGGTTCCAGTGGGTGCGTGTGCGCATGTCTGTGGGCACACGCGGCATCCACGCACATCCCTGTGTGCATCTCACTGAGGGGGGTCTGTGTCTCCCCCTTGTGAGCGGTGCTGCTGTGAGCCGTGCTGCTGTGGACGCGGGGTGCAGGTGCCTGGACCGAGGGTTTTCTCGTCCTTCACGAGCACTCGTGGGGTCGGTCTGTCTGGACTTGGTCCCGCGTCTGCTGGAAGCTCTGTCGGCCTGTGACTTCACTGACACGTTTCCTGTTTCTCCCGAAGTCCGAGTGCAGACAGCGGTGGTTTTCTCGGGAGCTGTTTCATGTTCCCCCGGTTTGTCTGGGCATCATCATCATCATCATCATTGCCAACGTCAAGACGCCAAAAGTCTCGGAGGATTCCAGCCCGTGTCCAGTGGGGTGCCCAGGGGGGCGCGCTCCGCGTTGGAGCCCCCGGAGGAGAGGGAGTGACAGCCCGGGCTGGGGGCGGTCCGGGCGCTGCGGGAGGACAGGGCGGGGCCTCTGTCGGTCCTCTCGGTCCCCCCCCACCCCGCCGCGGCCCCTCCCCCACCCGGAGCCACCCCGAAGGGGAACTGCCAGGCAGCCATCACGGTGCTTCTCTGCTGAGCCAGTCTCCAGGGCTCAGGGCCGATCTGCCCCTCGGCCGTCTGAACGGTGAGGCCTTTTCAGCATTTCTTCTTTCCCGGCGTGGCTCCAGGTGGCTCATTGGGAGCCAGCGCGCTCGAGAGAGCAGCTCCAGCGGGAGAAAGACCGTAATTGCGTCGTGTCCTAGGGGCAGAGTCGTACTGAAGCCGCCCTCTAGTAGGCCGTCCGGGCCTGCCGTTCCCGCCAGCATTTCTCCAGCGGACGCGGCGGGCTGCTGACAAGTGAAACTACGACCCCGACCCCCGCGTCTACGGCTGCCCCGGAGCGGCGCTCGCTCAGGCCTCCGCGCTCCCCTCCCCGGACATGGCCGCTGCTCCTCGTCCGGGCGGGCGCGGTGCGGGTGGCGGCGCTCGGGGAAGAGCAGACCCCGACAGCGGGGCGGGGGTCACCCGGGGCTGGACTACCTGGCGGGCTAGTGAGAGCTCTGAGCGGGGCTGGGGCCGGGGTGGGGCCAGGGTGGGGCAGGAGGAATCCTGCCGAGTCCCCCCCCGCCCCCCGCCCCCCCCCCCGCGCACTGGGTCCCAGCGGCTCTTGTTGGGAATTCTCCCAGCTCAGCGGCGGCCCCGATTCCACTCATGCAGGACTTCTCCACGGGAGAGGCGGGGCGGGGGGGTGGACACAAGGCGGCTTTCCGTGGTGCCCGGTTCCTAACACACCAGGACAGGGACCGCCCGCGGGCTGCGTGCCCTGGTGCAGGTCACGCTGACGACGGGAACCTGAGGTGTCCACGGTTTCCTGGGGGGACTGGGGACTGTCCACGTTCTGCCCGGCCTCCCTGGAGCCTGGCGGGCGGAGCCCTGACTGTACAGAGAGGGTGAGGGAACCCAACACTATTCCCCTTCCGGACCAGACGCGGGTGGGGGTGGGTAGTACGGTGGCTGCAACCCCAGGGCGTGGGGGCGGGGCTGCCGGTGGGAGGAGCGCTGGCTCCCAGCCCAGGGCCTGTGGGTGGGAGTGCAGGGGGAAGAGCAGGGACCTGAAACTGGGGTGTTGAGCGTGGCTACTAGTGTTGCCAAAACCAAAGCCACCCCTTCCGGGCATGGGCGGAGATTTAAGAAGCCAGTCTTATTTACTAAAAATCAACCCGGGTGGGACTGGGCAGACTCCTGGTGTCCGACCACCTGGGCTGGCCTGAGCCCTACACCGAAGCTATGGAGCGGCCCTCCCGGGAGGGGTGGGCGCAGGCTCCGGCGTGCACACTCAGCACCCCTCTTCCCGGAGCTGCAGAATGTCGGGGAGAGCCGAGGGTGAGTCAGGTCCCCAGCCCCTGGGACACATGGAGCCGGGAATCAGTCCAGAAGGACCCAAGGAGGCAGGAGGGGAGGGTTGGTGCTGTGCTGCCAGCTGCCACCAGGTGCTGTGGCACCTCCTCAGGGAGAGGCCGCAGGGACCAGGGGAGGTCTGTGCCCTGGGCCACACCATCACCTCTGTCCGCCCCCGTTCACAGGGTTCTCCGTCAGCAGAGACGGGGACCTGGACAGTGTCACCGAGTGCAGCCCCTGCGAACCGGCTCCTTCACACCGCTCATCGCAACCCGGAGATTGCCTGCCTGCCGTGTGCCGAGTGCCAGGAGGGTGAGTGCGCCCAAAGAGGCTCAGGCACCCGTTGGTTTCTGCAGCCCGCCCTGCAACCACCTTGCTCCTAGGAATCACCCCAAGGGCAGGTGTCACAGGTGAAGAGGGTGACGGGGTGAGCAGGACGACTGTCTGCCAGGATGACACGAAATCTGTGGTGAAAAGGTCCCCCTGAGGCCCCCGGGATGCAGAGCCGCTGTCGACAGGAACACACAGGGTTTAACACTCACCTCTGCGTGCCCTGCAGTCTGCGGAGGGGGCTCGGGTTCTGCCAGCGTCCCAACCAGTGCTCCCGCCACTGGGGCAGTGACCCTCGGCCCACAGTCCCGAGCACTTGGAGGGGGGTACTTAAATGTGAGCAGGGGTCAGGCCAGGTAGAAAGGCGGCAGACTCCCCCGCTGACGTGTCTGCCTCAGTGATGAATAAACCGCAAGGCATGGAAAATAAATATATTTCAGGATTCCTTGTTGTCCGTCTGAGAAGAAGGCCATCGGCGTTTCAACAAGGACAGCCTGAGTCTGCACTTCACTTTGGGCAGCGAGGACGGTGTGACAGTGTTGCTCCTGCCAACCCTGAGCTCAGTGTGTGTCCCCCGTCACGTGTCCCCTCTTGGTCTCCTTTCTCGGTTCCTCCAGCCGTCAGGGCGCAGGCTGTCCGCTCTCTGGTTGACCTTGTTCCTGGGTGGTTTCTGCTGTCGGACGCAGCCGCAGGAGGGGCTGACGACACCTCCCTCTGGTTACCCGTCACTGTTGCTCGGAAGTGCACCTGGTGTCCACGTTGTGTCCTGCGACCTCACTGCCTTCATTTCCACGTTCTCATGGGATTTGGTGGGTCCTCAAACGGTCCTACGTACCGCGTCCTGCCGTCTGCGAGCAGTGCGAAGGCTCCTCCTCCCTCGGATGTGCTTGCTGTTTGTCTCTGTCTCGCGTGACCGCTGTTGCTCGGACTCCCAATGCTCTGGGGCGGGGAGGTGGTGAGGGTGGGCGTCTGTCTTCCTCCTGATCGGAGAGGGGGAGCTTTCGGCTTCTCACCATTGGGTGTTGTGTCACGGTGTGTCTAGGAATTACCTTTTTTTAAAGATTTTATTTATTTTTAGAGAGAGGGGAAGGGAGGGAGAAAGAGAGGGAGAGAGACATCAGTATGTGGTTGCCTCTTGCACTCCTACACTGGGGACCTGTCCCACAACCCAGGCATGTGTCCTGACCAAGAATCGAACCGACAACACTTTGGTCCCAGACCCCACTCACTCCACTGAGCCACACCAGCCAGAGAGGAATTATGCGGGGTTTTTTAAAGATTTTATTTATTTATTTTTAGAGAGGGAAGGGAGGGAGAAAGAGAGAGAGGGAGAAACATCAATGTGCGGTTGCTGGGGGCTGTGGCGTGCCACCCAGGCATGTGCCCTGACTGGGAACCGAACCTGCGATGCCTTGGTTCGCAGCCCACGCTCAATCCATTGAGCCATGCCAGCCAGGGCGAGGAATTATGTTTTTAATAACATGTTTTTGTTCATAATTATAACAAAATTGGATGCAATTTATACACTGTGCTCTTGTAGATTTTATTATAATGAACAGAATTAAATGTGAATTTTTGTATTAATGCCAGTTTCACTTTAAAAGCAATTCCTGCCTGCCAGTGTAATCTGTAGTGCTATGGATAAAACTTTTTCAGGGTATTTGGTATATAAGGAGTGACCCAACCAAAAATGGAGGAAAAAAAATGAACCAGCAATTTCCTTCTGGAGGGCAAGCCATTGCAGTCCAGGATTCCCCACTAACAGAGAAAGTTCCAGGAGCCCATCTGCATCAGTGACCAGCTGGCCTTGTTGTGAGAGGCTGCGTTGGGCTTTATTGATTTTTTTTTCCCACAGCTCTCCCAGAGCACCGGCCCATTTCATGAGGGGTGATTTACCAGCCCACCTGCCCACCCTGTGCTGAGTGTTCAGCACTTTTTGACCAAAAACTCACATGCCCACCCTCCCTACTCCCCCGATCTCACCCAGAGCGACTGTTTTTCTTTTCGGTTGAAAAGAGTCCACAAATGGAAACGTCCCGACATGTAGGATGTGAAACAAAATGGCAGAAGCTCTGAGAGGCGTCAGAGCCGCCGAGTCCAAAGAGTGTTCAGGGTGGTGCAGGGCCGCCCCCATGGGTGCCCCCCATCGGGGGGGAGCATGTGAGGGGGACCGAAGGCAAAGGTGTGCGAATAAAAACTTAATTTTTATGAGTAAATTCCCTTTTTGGGTCGCCCCTGTGTGCATGTGGCCAAATGCATCCACAGGAGTTCACATTCACATGAAACACAGCATGTAATTCCCATTCTAAGTTATTTAAATTTCACTCCTTTATGCTTTATATTTTACATGGTCTGTGATAGGAATTAAAAGCAATAAATATCCTTGAAAATATATGGAAATGTGTTCCCCACTAGGGAAATTTTTAAAGTTTAAATCATTGAGATATTTTTATTACTTTTACTTATTTTTTATTTATTTATTTTTATTTTGAGGACAGTAGTCTTTATTTTCCCTGAATCACTGCCCCCCAACATAGCCATCCCTTAAAACAGTCAGGTACTTTAAAGCACAGGGTGCAACGTTCGTGGGCTTCTGCTCTGGGTGAAAGGGGACAGCGTTGGAGGGGCTGAGCAGCAGGGAGGTGAGGGGGCAGGACTGCTGGCTGCTCTGCGGAGCACGGCCTGCAGGGGGCAGCAGCGGGATGGAGACTCAGAGCCCAGGGGCCTGCCTTCCTCAGAGGGTGGTCTGGGGGGTGGGAACCTGGCTGGGGCAGGGAAGTGTGGGCCAGTGGGGGGCTTCTGAGCAGGTTCCCACAGGAGAGCCTGGTGCTCCCTGCTGGCGAGAGATAGGTACCTGCATTACCGCCCCACGTTTCATGGCTGATTTCCACAGAGGGATCCAAGGGGAAGAGACCCCCAGGGGACATTTGCAGAGGAGGCTCTGGGGTCCCCAGTGATGGTGGTGGTGCCCGGGTCGGCCCTGGGCAGGCAGCCTCTCCACGTGGAACCCTCCTCCTCCTTCCAGGTGGTCCCTGCTGCCCAGCCCCTGCTGGCCTCTCTCTGTGCACAGCAGGTCCGGATGGGGAGGTGCCTGGTGCCCCGACTGCCTGCCCTCCCTGTGTGCCTCGCCGTGGTCCAGCTGCTCAGCCCCTGCTCAGGTAGGACCGGCTGTGCATCTGTGTGTGCGCATCCTTTCCCTTCGGGCCCAGCCAGAACCCGGGACTCCACCCACCCCTGCAAGGCCTGTCCACACCGCACCTGTGTGAGGACTGAGTTCCTGTCTAGGTGTCTGTCACCTCACCCTCCCTGCCTGGGACACCCCCTGGCCCTCTGGGCCTACTCACTCTGACGGAGCCCCCCCTTCTGATGTCCAGCTGAGTTTGCTGTGGTCGGACCCCCCGAGCCCATCCTGGTCATGGTGGGTGAAGACGCAGACCTGCCCTGTCACCTGTCCCCGAAGATGAACGCTGAGGCCCTGCAGCTGATGTGGGAGCGACCCGGCCGCAGGCAGGTAGTGCACGTGTACGCACACGGGCAGGAGGACACGCCGGCAGAGGAGTTTCGAGGGAGAACTTCGATTATAAGAGAGGACGTCACTGCGGGGAAGGCCGCTCTCCGGATTCACAACGTCAGCGTCTCTGATAACGGAACCTACCTGTGTTATTTCCAAGATGGAGACTTCTTTGAAAATGCCCAGGTGGAGCTGCAGGTGGCAGGTGAGGCTCAGGCTTGTTCCAGGCTCCTTTCCCTGGGCGGGGGCGGGGGCTGCAGACCTACCCCAGAGCACGTGGGCTGCTCACCAGCATCCACCCCTGCCTCCATCTCTGCGCCTCTGAGGCTGGTGACAGACCCAGGGGTCTCCTGGGGTGACTTCCTCCTGCACCCAGTACAGAGTCCCCCACGCCGCCCACCCGTCTCAGAGGGAAGTGGAGGTTGGGGATGGGAAGGAGGAGAAGCCCTCCCCGCACTGGGTGGCTAACGGGTGTTTGGTTCAGTGTGATTCACACCGTGGCTGTGGGGCCTCGGGTGCCCGCTGCTGTGAGTCCAGGGGTCTGACCTGCAGGGACAACCTGTGGGGCCCCCGTCCCCCACCAAACCCCCGGGAACACAGCTGCAGTTGGACAGGTTGTGTCCGTCCTCGGTGCAGGGAGGGAGGACGCTCCCCTGGGGACGTGGACACGGGGGTGTCTCAGAGAGGGGGCGTCAGGGAGGACTCGGTGCAGTTCGGGGGGATGTGGAAGCAGCGCTGGGCTCTGGGTGGGACCCAGTCAGGATATTGGGGGGTGTCACTGGTCACTCACAGCCGGCACAGGGAGGTGGGTCACTGCACACGGTTCCTGTTTCCTCTGTGCTGTCACCCACCCTTGAGTGACCTTGACGTGGCCCTGACCCACCCCAGTGAGGAAGCGCCTTGCCTGAGGTGCCGCCCCACGAAAGTGCCCATGTCCGGGCCTCAGAGTTACAGTTTGAGTTCCCCGGACACAGCCCTGCCCTGTGGCTTCCAGTGCGTGGGGGCTGGTGGAGCAGGGACAGTGCGGCCCCCTGGCCTTGTCCCCGCACAGCCCCTCCTCAGCCTGCTGTCCCTTCCTAGAGACCTCTGCTCCCCTGACGGAGCCCTCCCTGCAGGACTCTGTGGGTTCAGGTCCTCAGAGGGATTCCTCCCCCTCCGTGTGTTCAGGGGGGTGGGGACAGGTGGCAGTGCCTCCCCGCTTCCTGGCCCCGGGTCCGCTGTCTTCCGTGGGAAAGGTTCCCCTCTGCACAGCCTCGCTGTGGGCGCTTCTGGGGGAGACCCTGCAGGGAGAGCCCAGCAGCCTGGCAGTGAGGGCAGCAGCAGCCTCCTGAGGGGCCGTGCATACGAGTCACCGCTCAGGCGGCCGTAGGACACGGTGTGTCTCCTCCTGCTCACGGGAGGGCACAGCCCCCACAGGACGGGCAACATGGACAGGGGCAGTGGGGTACGACCCACTTAGGCTGAGGGGCACCACCTCCATGCTTGCCAGGGAGGGGTGAGGGGCTCTGCCAGGGACTAGCCTGTCTGGGGCGGGGGGGCGGGGAGGGGAGGCTGCGGCAGTCTCTAAGGGGACTTGGGGGAAGCAGCCTCTGCTCTGGCCCAGAGCCCCCTGGATCCAGCACCAGGGTCCAGCCAGGGTCAGGCAGTGGCCCCATCGGGGATCAGTCTCTGCTGCCCAGCACACGCTGGGAGCAGCTCCTGGTGAGTCCCTGCTGGGCTCATCAGTGTGGGTGCCCCTCCTTGGTGAGGAGACCCCACAAGTACAGGGGGCTCACCACGATTCAGCTCACTTCTCCTCCCCAGTGCTGGGCTCTGATCCCCACATTGACATGAAGGGCTACGAGGCTGGAGGGATCCGTGTGAACTGCACGTCTGCCGGCTGGTACCCGCAGCCCCAGATCCAGTGGAGAGACGCCAAGGGACAGAGCTTGTCCTCTGAGGCAGTATGTGAGGCTGCAGACCCCCAGGGCCTTTATGCAGCCTCAGCCTCTGTGATCCTGGAAGAAGGCTCTGGGGAGGGGGTCTCCTGTGTCATCAGAAACCCGCCTCTGGGCCAGGAGAGGTCAGCCAGGCTTTCCATCCCAGGTGAGTGCCCTGCCCCCTGCCCTGGGCTCCTCGGTGCCCCTGGGGGAAGGTGCGGGGTGTGCTGTTCACCTGGTCCCCTGCGGGCACAGAGGGCACAGATCAGGGACCTGGGGCCCCTTCCTCTGAGGTGGTTCATGTCACAGACACCTTCTGAGCTCTTCCTGCCACACACGGTGCCAGGCAGTGGGACGTGGGGGCAGATGGGAAAGTTCAGCAAACACACCAGGAGGGGAAATAGGTACACCCCAAATCTCAGTGAAAGGGGCAATCTCTTTATAATATAAAGGAACACAGTGCATAAAACGGCAAAAACAGGAGTCATGAGTTCTGAGAAAGTTAAAACTCCCAGGAGGATGCCAAATCTTAGGAATTGGAAATATTTTGCCCCTGGGAAATTGCCAGCAGAAGGAAAAACGAGGTGGTGGAGCCCTCTGGTGGCGGGCTGTGGGGAGACAGCGCCCTAAACGCTGGTGCTCCTGGGTTTGAATGGGCCTGCTCGCTGTGCTGGGGTGGGCAGGTGACCAAGACAGAGGCCGAGGCGGACAGCATGCCCACCAGCTGCATAGGGGCTGTTTTCACTGTAAACAAGATAGAACAAAATATATTTAATTTTGAAAACTGAATGAAACCTGCGTGGCACTCACCCTGCGTCAGGCACTGCATAAGCACTAACTAAATGCTCTCACTGATCAGGACGCAGCGACAGACGGTTACGTCATTAGTTCAAGGTCACAGCGCTGGTCGGGCAGGAGACCCGGGACTAGAACCCAGGCCCCCCAGCCCCAGAGTCTGTTCTTCGTCACCAGACTCTGCTGACTGGGGCACAGGTAGTGGGGGGCAGGGTGCAGAGGGGACGTCAGTGACACTGTCTGTGCGTCCTCATGCTCCATCTCATCCCATGGGGGCGGAGACATTTCAGGAAAACCGTCCTGACTGTGTGGCAGTGAGAGTCTGGGCGCTCTGGGGATAGAAGATCCCTTCTGGGGCTGACGCTACCCCTTTGCAGGCTCCTTCTTCAGGAACACAAAGTTTTGGGTGGTGGTGCTCTCCCTGGCCTCGCTGTCTCTTGTGGTGCTCCTATTGCATGTGGGGTACTTGCTGTGGCGACGGTGGAGGAGTATCCAGGCCCTCTTCCAGGAGGAGGGGAGAGCAGGAGCTGAGAGAGAAGCAGCGCAGGCAGAGCTGCAGCAGGAGGGAAGCGCCCAAGGTGAGGCCCAGCTGCAGGTGGTCGCCACCTCCCTGCACTGCCCACATCCACACCTGGACCCTCTCTGCATTCCCTGGATGGGTTTTCTTGTTCAGTTTATGTCTAGAGACACTGCAGGATGAGCTCAGTAGGTCCCCATCCCCGTCCCTGTGCGACCTGGGGTCCCTGGTCACATGGTCACTGACTCCACACGTTGTTCCCTGCAGGGCGGTCAAGGACCTGGTAGTGACCACGTCAGCTGCCCTGGACCTGCATCTCAGCCTCTGCTCGGTTAGTTCAGCCTCTCTCTTCAGTCCTAAGCGCCCTGGGGAAGAAATGGGGACACTGATAGCACATGGCAGTGGTCTCTGCCAGTGGGGAAGGGGCTGCGATCTCCGTGCACAAGGGGGTGTTAGAGTCCATACACTGAAGGAACCCAGGGAACCCTATAAATAAACCCAGGCCTGGTGAGGCCCCGGGGGCTGCGGCGCTGCTGTCAGTGGGACGGGGGTGAGGGTTTCCTGCGGCACCAGCGACAGGCCGCGTGCTGCTTGTACTCTCGTCCCTCTGACAGCTCAGGGAGACCCCCCACGTGGCAGATCCAAAGGTCAGACAGTCGGGAGCCCCGCGAGGTTACAGACCTCGCCCTGCTGCCCGCACAGCCGCTCTCGTCCCACTGGTCAGGAGGGGCCGCCTCAGTGGACACCTCACCACCCGGAGCTTCCCACCCTCAGGCCCCGCAGGCCCCTCTGCTGGGCTCCCTGGCTCCGTGTGATGGAGCGTCAGGCCTGTCAGGAGCCCGGCCGGGTCGTGTCCTACCGCGCTCTCCTGTCCCCCTGCCTGGTCCCTTCTGCGAGGGCAGCCTGGGTGCCCAGGGCCTCCTGCGGACCCTGGACTTGGTTGCCAGCTGGGACCCCCACAGCACACAGCACACGCCACGCCTGCCTTCCAGGGACGAGGCCAAGGCTCCCTCCTTGATTTCTTTTTTCAGCCACGAACAGGATCTACTTTGGATTCGGGCAGGAGGTTCCCAAATGTAGCTGGAGGACGTTCATGAGGCTCTTGGGACTGGAGGAGAACAACCTTGTCATCTGTGAGCACGGGGACCTGGGGACCCTGGCGGAGCAGCACCACAGGATGCTGCCGCGCTGGCAGAGCGAGCTGGGGCGCACCGCATCCCCCTGCGGGCTCGTGGCGGCCCTCCATGAGATGCGGCTGCGGGAGCGTCTGAAGAATGACACCAAGCACCTTCAGCTCCCACGCAGTCCCTCAGCGAAGTCTCCGCCACTCCAGCCAGCCTGTCCTGTCCAGACCCTTGGGTGTCATCCCCACAGGCATCTCCTCCCGAGTCCCCCCCACCCCAGGGTGTGAGGGTCCCCTGTCCCTCCCAGACCTGTGTGCCCAGCCCTCTAGGCCCCGCCTCCCTCCACGCTGCTGCCCATCACTGACTCAGCTTCTGTCCACTCTGGCTCCCCTCCGGCCCCCCCGAGTCCAGTCTCCTCCACTGCAGCTGGACTGGGGGTGGGAGCACAGATCTGGCCTCCACCCTCCCTGCCACCCACCCTTACCCCACCCTGGGGAGGGTCCTGCCATTCCTGATTCGTTCAGGGGAACTGGCAGCCCCTGCCCACGCCCCAAGCCCAAACCTCTTGGCATTGCATACAATGTGGTCACGCTGAGTTTGCCAGCAGCTTGGCTTCTCCTGGGGTCACTCGCAGGACAGTCCACTCGGCCTGGAACGCACGCCCCGTCCACCCCCAGTCCCTTCCTCTCAGCCTGCTTGGAACTGGTCTTCTGTCGGGCCAGCCCATTGCAGCCCCAGGGGCGGATCTCTGACCGTCTGGCTGGGGGTTGTCCCCACACCATGGGGGTCATGCTGACTTCAACACCCATGCACGAGATGACCTGTCCCTGAGGCCTGCGTCTCCGCAGAGGGACTTCGACCTCTGCCCCTCGGCCCTGTGCGGGGCCTCATCGAGGGACTGTCCTCCCCAGCACCCTGCGTGATCCCAGGGACAAGGCTCCAGTGCGCCGGCCACGTCCACCTGTACACCACAACTCCCAGCATGCCGCGGGACGGTGGTGTTGAAGCCTGGGGCGGTTGCCTAGGATCTGTTCCAGTAGGCAAACCAGGGGCTGGGTGGGGTGGGGCAGGACTTTCAGTCCCAGGAAGCACACCAGATTCTGGGAATGAGTCCCTGTGGTTTGGGGTCCAGGATTACTAGGGTAGCGGGTTGCTCCCAGGAGCAGGGTGAGCGCTCACAACAGGGCGTTCGAGGGGTGACCCCAGCGGAGGGGCTGGCTCCCGGGTCAGATAGGGGTCACCCCGGTCCTGTTGGGCCTGAGTCCTCTGGGGTCTTGGTGGGCCGGCTTCCAGGTCCGGTGTGTCCGGATACTCTGGGTAGACGCCCACCTAGGAGGCGGAGGGGAGACCGCCTGTCCCCAGCAGACTGGGCCTGAGCTCGGGACACCCTTTTGGGATTGAGGCCCTGCCCCGAGAGACCATCGCCTGCCCAGCCTCAGCCGCCCCTTGGGCTGTGCCCGTGTCCTCTTGCGCCTCTAACCGTGATGGTCCCATGTGGCCCCATCCGGGCCTCGCCCTGCTGCCCCAGCTGGACCTCAGGGACAGGCCAAGCGTGCAGGGTACTTGGTCCTCCGCCTGGCAGGGCCTCATCCGGGGGTGGGCGGAGGGCACCCGAGCTGGGCACTTAGGAAAATGGGGCCGCGGAAGCCAGGGGGACGCGGCTCACATGAAAGGACCAGGATTTTATGACGGCGTTCTTTGCGGCGGGCAAACCGCGCATTTGGGCGTCAGGACCCCTTTATTGGCCAGGAGGGTTGGGTGAGCAGCCCTGGCGGCCCTGCCCACTGAGTCCCTGGCGTCACTGGGGTCGACGGGGGCGTCCACAGGCTGGTTCCCCGGGACTCTCGGATTCCTGACAGTCTGGGGCCACCTTCCCTCAGGACACACACTGCACGAGGGTGTGTCCCCTGGCTGGGGGAAGTGAGAGGCCAGCTCTTCTGAGACAGCCCCAGCCCCCAGCGCCCCCAGTTCAGGCTGTGCAACGCCCTCAGCCCCTATGGTCCCCCTGCTCCCGAGGGCGTGCTGGGCCTCCAGGTGGGGGCTTGGAGATGCAGGAGGCACCCAGGTGACAGGCTGCTGAGACACACCAGCACCTACCGTCAGGGCACCCAGCACACCATGGACAAGGGTGCCTGTATGCCAGTGCTATCCTCACCCACAGCCGGGGTTCACAGCCGGATTGGGGTGCAAGCAGGGTGGGCTGGGTCCCAGCGGCAGGGGGAGGAAAGGCCTCAGCGATGGTGGGCCCGGGACAGGCCGTCCGGGTGGAAAAGGGCAGCTGGGTTCCTGTCATGCCTCCAGTGAAGCGGGTTCTTGGTTCCTGTTTCACCGTGAACCACGTTGTTGTGGTGTTTTGTTCCTTTTTGTGGCTTCAGAACTTGAATTTTTCCGAACCTTGGGGAGAGGTGCCCTGTTTTTACACCATGAGGCCTGTGGTGGGACCCAGGAGTTCTGGATGACTGAAAGGCTTTATGTCCGAACCCTTGACCTTGGGGCATCTCCCAGACACTGTCCTTTCCCAGGACACAGCCCGCAAGTGCCCAGGCAGAGGGCGGTGGCCCTGTGTGCCTGCAGAACCAGCTGGGCAGTGACCCTTCCGACGTTACTGACACGGCTGCCACCTCCGGCTCCTCAGTGACGTCGGCCCCCCTGTCCAGAGTGTGTAGAGTGCAGCATGAAGAGTCTTGGGGGCAACCTAGGAGGTAGTACCTGTAGT